TATATATATATATATATATATATATATATATATATATATATATATCAATTCACTATTGAGAAGTTATATGACAGTGTCACATTTGCCAGATTGGATGCCCTTCCTAATCAACCGCGGTTCGGCGTGTTGTGTGTGTGTGTGTGTGTCTATATATATTTATATGTATCTATCTATCTATCTATCTATATATATATACATATATATGTATGTATATATATATATATATATATATATACGCGCGCGCGCGTGTGTGTGTGTGTGTGTGTGTGTGTGTGTGTGTGTGTATGTGTGTGTGTGTGTGTGTGTGTGTGTGTGTGTGTATGTGTGTGTGCGTGTGTGTGTGTGTGTGTGTGTGTGTGCGTGTGTGTGTGTGTGTGTGTATGTGTATATATATATATATATATATATATATATATATATATATATATATATATATATATATATATATATATATATATATATGCACATAAATATATGTCAGTATATTTACACATATTCATATATATTTGTGTGTGTGTGTGTGTCTCTGTATGAGTGTCTGAATGCTTGTACGTGGGTTTATACGTGGGTCTATATTTGCAGCACTTGTGTGCATGCGTGTTCGAATGTAAGTCTATGTAAGTAAACATGCACGTGTGTGTGTGAACCTGACTGTATGCGAACGTTATTGCAAGCCTTTCTCAGAAGTAATTAAGGCTCGTAATTGAATTTGGGCTCCTGGCAGTTGAACTCCCTTGACCTCTTTCTGCTAAAAAGTGGGAAACGCCTGTCCATATGAATGCTCAACGGTCCAATATGAAAAGCCTTAAATAATGCACGCGATATACACACAAAGCCAAAGAACTTCCTCCCCAGATTCGGTTCAATATCGGCCGAGGTGTTTGCCTTCGAGAATCTTCATTCGTTTATCATGACAGTGGCGCTGCCCTCCCCTACCCCCCCTTTACCCTCGTCATATCCGCCCCCTTCCCCATCCCCAACCCCCCCCCACTTTCTCCATCCCCCCATTTCCCATCCCCTCCCCCTCCTCCTCCCCTCTTCTCGTCTCCAGGTCCCTCAGCCTTGGAGTGCCACGATGCCTGGGGATTTGGCACGCCGCCCCTAGGTGATTCCCCTGCCTGACAGACTAAGGAGAGAAGGAAAAAAGGAGGCGGGGGTTTCAAAGACAGGCCTTTGAAATGGGTCTCTTGAGGGAAAATTTCCGCGAAGAAAGTGGTTTTGTTCTATGATAAGAAGAAAATAGTTAACATTTGTCTTTAAGGGAACGAAGAAAATATTTGTCTTTGTTCGTCGAAAGGAGAAAATATGTGTGCTTTGTTCCCACAGGAGAAGAAAATAGATCTTGTTCGTGGGAAGTATTATTTATCTTCGTAGAAAAGGAGAGAGCAGGTCCTGGTCTTTTGCTAACTTATGCTTTCAGTTGACCAAATGCACAAATGACTTGCTTTACATTAATGGATATAAAACATGATATTCTAAAGATTATCATATTTTTTTTCTGATGTCAAAAGACAGATCGGAAACGTTTTTTTTTTTTCACTCTAACCATTTCCGAGTATTATAACTTTTAATACGGCGGGAACTAGTATTTGCACATGATTTCAGTGTATTCATAACCGTGCCCTAATACCAGTGGGCGAGGAACTGAACGCTTCATAAAACAGCATACGTCTATGTGAAATTAGTATTCCTATTTTGTGCAGTGCAGATAATCACATGTTAGTATAGAAATTGAATACTCTTTACTTCATTTTAACTTTCATCACTTTAATTACAGTTATTACTATTGATCCTAAAAAAAATGACGAGAAGACAACAGTGTGTTTTGTTTTGTTTTGTTTTGTTTTGTTTTATAAGAAGAATTCCGTAACGTCAATACCAATACACGGGAACACTATCATAGCATTTTATTTGATGATAAGGATTTAGTTAATCATATCAGTGGATTATTCAGCATATCAATTAAACATTCGGATATATGACTACATCAGAGGATGATTTACTGAGTTTTAACAAGGCGTAAATTTAATTACCTTCACCGTGTTTGTTAAGCACCAACATATTAAAACTTCCTGTGGATTCTTGTTTTACACTTCTCGCGGGTTTTGCTGCACTGTGGAAGGGGACAATTAGCTATAGTTGCATTTGGTTTTTACTCTCTCTCTCTCTCTCTCTCTCTCTCTCTCTCTCTCTCTCTCTCTCTCTCTCTCTCCTCTCTCTCTCTCTCTCTCTCTCTCTCTCTCTCTCTCTCTCTCTCTCTCTCTCTCTCTTTCTCTTTCTCTTTCTCTTTCTCTTTCTCTTTCTCTTTTCTCTCTCTCTCTCTCTTTCTCTCTCTCTCTTTCTCTCTCTTCCTCTTTCTCTTTCTCTCTCTCTTTCTCTCTCTTTCTCTTTCTCTTCTCTCTCTCTCTTATTCTCTCTCTTTCTCTTTCTCTTTCTCTTTCTCATTCTTTCTCTTTCTCTCTCTCTCTTCCTCTCTCTTTCTCTCTCATTCTCTCTCTCT